GTAGGGGGGGGGGGGGTGAACGACGTTGCGTCACATTTTTCGCGTAAAGATACACATTAGTTTGAAACATTATAATCGACCCAAGAGGTCTTTATTTTTCTCGAGGGGTCCCCCACTCGCCAACTCGTTGCACGCGAGGAAAAATACTCGCAAGATATTCGCGACAACTCGTGGAAAATTTGCGAAAATTTGCTAGAAAATCGAGAAATACTCGCTTTATACTCGCGGATACTCGCAAATACTCGCATAAACTCGCGGGTACTCGCTAATACTCTCGAATACTCGCGGCCACTCACGCAACTCGTTGTACACCCACTTGGAGAGTGGAGGACCCCTCGATTTTTCTCCGATATTCCGGAATTCCTCAGTAGAGACATTATTTGTCGCAGCTGTTGCAATCCATATAAATATACATGGATTTTTCGAAAATTTTGGAAATGTGACGTCACAAGGGGGAAAAGGGGGGGGGGGTCAAAAAGTGCCAGAAATCGCGTGACATAATTATGTGCACGACCCCTAGAGTGTAGACAATTTACGTTAACGACACTTATAAGTTGATCGCGTTGTTTATCAATACTTTAAAATTGTACGAAAGGTTTACATAGTACTTTGGTTGTAGGGCGTTCGCGTTCCCACTCCAACGGATGCAGACCGAATGGAGTTCAAAAGCGCGTGCGTCAATGTGATGGCAATGGACCTGCGCCCCACAACGACTTTCTCTGGGGATGAGTTCACTAAACTGATCCAGACGGCGTGCAATGTCCAAGCCAGGCATGGCAAGCAGCCTATTAACGCCGCCCAGCTGATTAGTGATCGCACGACACTTGTCCGCTGCTTAGAAGAAGAAGCGGACAAGGCACGACAGGAAATCTCTGCTGACCTTAACTCCGCATCGGAAGACAGTGTGGGCATGGGTGCAACTACAGACCTGTGGACTGAGAAGTACTCACTACGCCACTATATGTCCCTCACAATGCACATCATCGACCATAATCATAAACTGCTAAACCTTGTACTTTCAGTATCGAATTTCCAGGATGACTCAGAAACTGCAGAAAATCTTGCAGAACATTTGGATAGGGAGTTGAGGAAATTCAATGTAATTAGAGATAATTTGGTATTTGTAACTGATGGGGGGAAAAATGTTATAAATGCACTTGAAATTCTTAACATTCCAAGAATCTATTGTATGGACCACTGCTTGAATATTGTACTCAAAACTGCATTTAATATGAAAATGGTCGAGTTGGACTTATATGGTGAGACCGGACGAGAGGTTTTAAAATGTGTAGAGTCAGCAGTTAATTTTGTAAGGTCGTCAAGAAGGCGGAAGTCAGAGAATCTTAAAAAGTTGAAAAAACCCCCACGGACTTGTGAAGCGACAGAATTTCCCCGCTATATGTCGCACGTGCCATGCATGCAAGATTTGCTAGACAACTTTGATGAGGTACAAATGTTTTACCGCAGAATTTCCATAAATGGTGCTGTGACACTTAGATACACTGTGAGAAAAACTTGTAAGGGTCACAGAAAAAATTGCCATGATAAGAGTTGTCAAATTACTATTCGCAATTGTAAAATTACAAACCCACTGTCTCGACTTAGAATCATTGACAAGTAAGGTGCGAGCAAGGTAGAATTAAAAAAGCATTTATATTTTTCATTCACGCGTTCGTGGCATTTTAAATTGGCCTTGTTGCGTAGGTGTACGACGACGGTACAACGTGTAGTGCGGGCATATTCGAGATTTCGAATTATTCGATAGCGAATTGAATAAATTCAAAATTGAACGAATTCGAATGATCCAGATTTAATTCAATTCGATATCGAACAATTCGCACAGGTCTAAGCAATAGGGGGCAGGGAGGGGGAGGGAGGGATGTCTCTGGGTGGTTTGCGGTTTGTACAGCAAATCACCTACTTTTCAGGCGGCATTTTAGGACCGAGTTCAGTACTTCAGCAGTGTATCTCTGTCGCACGTACCATTTATGGAATTTCTACTGTACAGTAACGGCGAATAAACAAGTCTTTTCACAGTTTATGTTAATCCTACAGGTTTGCACATTTTTGCACAATGCGAATGAAGAAGAGACTGCCAATAATTTATCACGGGATGATATTCAAGTCCTCGTTGACTTCATTCAACCATTAGATGAGAAGGCCAAGCCTCACAGTAATGACCTTTCGGAGGTCAACCAGGCTTGGCTCAACGACCACATTGAAGGTAAAATCGCAAATAGTGTGCCTCTTGAGGGGTGTGGAACTGGACACGTAATACAGGGTATGGGTGATCCGCGCCGTGTTTTTAGTTTGCTTATACTGTACCGGATTCATGCGTGCGGGAGGGCTTGCCTACCGTCGCTCGCCATGGCGCCTTAAGGCCCCGTGTGAGTTTGCAACCCAACCCGTCCGCACGCATGAATACGGTAAAGTATAAGCAGAAAAGAAACACGGCGCGGACCACCCACCCCCCACCAGGTACGAACATCGGGAATCGGGAAAAACATTCATAAACAATCAGGACACATTTGGACACAATCACGTCACAATGTAACACAATTTTTCAGAATATGTCAGAATATTTATCCTACAATCTGAAACAATCATTAACAATCATATACAATATGAAATAATCACACACATTTATACACGATCACACACTATCATACATAATCCCACAATTTTTAAAAATACGTCCCAAAATTTTCCCAAAAATCTGAAAAAAATCACAGACTAACATCGACACAATCTCACACAATCTGAAGTAACGATTTGACCAGTTTCTCACCCCGGTGCCTGCCCTGCAGGTCTGCAGTAATTATATCTGTTGCTGTTTTTGGCTGTTGTGTCTTTGGGTCTCATCTCTTTGACAAGTTGCAAACGTTTTTGACTCTTTCTGCTTTAGACAAACCAGAAGACGGCGACCTACTATGTTTTCTTAAAGCAAATGCAAGAGTGCAGTTGGCAGGTAGATTCGCCGTTCAATTGATGCAAAAATGCAAAAAAATTGTGACCCTCTTCAAAGGTTGGGGGGAAAACCACCTACTGGACGAGACGCTGAAGCAGGACATTCCCACCCGCTGGAATTCTCTGCTGATAATGTTGATGTCGTTCCCTAAGGACCATTTTGATACGGTGAGAGTACAGTTCACTCTCGAAATGTTGCGTCAAAATAACTATGTTGTAAAATTAAATTAAAATTTGTAACTTAAACATTTTTAAAGGAGATTTTTCGCGTAAAAGCTTCAAATATCTGTCACAGTGAAATTCCACACTTCAACTGTGAAAGATACCGTCGTAAATTTACAAACAAAATTGTAAACTTGAATTATAATTTAATTTGTGAATTTACGAGGGAACATTTTTTTTACTCGCCAGCGCATTTTAAGTCTATACGTACTGCATGTAATTTTACGATTACGAATTGTAGTTTTACAACTTACGTGAAGGAAAATTTTCCTGTAAACCTTACTACTTTTTTTTACACTGTTTGTGTACCGCTGTTCTGTGTTTGATGATTTTTTGTTTTTAAAGGTCAATTCTACTTTGTTAGCGCACAACACGCGCGAAAAGACGTATGACCACCTCCTTTTAAACCAGGAGGACCAGAATGACATTAAGCGTCTCATCAACTTTCTCAAACCATGGAAGCTGGAGTCTGAAAGAGTCCAAGGTGACAAGTACCCAACTTTACAGTACGTTCTGGTTGCGGCTGCTCGGCTAGCGGCTTTGTCAGAACCGAAAGAAGATGACAGTTTCAAAATTCAACACCTGCGAGCCCGAGCAGCGCAACTGCTGAAGCGAAAATTTGTGCCTCATGACCTGCACAAGATAGCGACGTTCTTATGGCCTGACTTTAGGCGCCTCCTCATGCTTAAAACTGCCACTGAGAGAAAGAAGGTACTTACACTCTAAATGTAAAGGGACAATTTTGTCCGTAGATTTGGAACCGATTTGTGCACATCCAGAAAGGATGCAATTTTGTTCCTAAAACTAGACAAATTGTGTGAGACTTTACACAATTTTGTCCATTTAAGGAACAAATTTGCATCCTTTCTAGATGTGCACGAATCGGTTCCAAATCTGTGGACAAAATTGTCCCTTTACATTTAGAGTGTATGACACTGAAATATCGTGCACTGTAAAAAAAAAAACAAAAAAACAGCAGTTTTAAACTGTAATTGGAATAACGGTCTACTGTTAAATTTTGCGCTCTATCATACGGTGTACGGGAACGAAACTGTCAATTCTCAACCGCAGGATAGAACACACAATTTATACTCCAATAGTTTACGGCGAGGGGGCAATAACTCCCTTTTGAAGTGTACACTTCATTCCCGAAATACTTGATTTCCAGTGATTCCCGGTGATTCCCGCCCGCTACTATTTATTTATCTGGTTTTCTAGTGGTAGAAACGTTTATTTCGACTAATTGGTACCAGTTCTGCTAGTTTCCTGCTCAGACTAAACGATTTCTGTTGATTTCGATCAATTTTTACCGTGATGATTCTCAGGCAGGTGTACACATGATTCCCGGAGTTCTTGCCCCCTCGGTTTACGGTGTAGATATTTTTTAAGTGTGGGTTTTTCGGATAAACTATTATTTAAAGATTTTCTTGACAAATTCAAATATTTATGAACTGTTGAGGTACCTATCGACTTTCGCCTTTCACGAGCAAGAATGGGATGTTGTAAATTTAAAACTGCGAAAATCGTCGTAAATTTATGAAAAACATTGTAAATGGTGTTGTACTTAACGCAAAACGCCTTTAACTAAATATTATTGTAATAAAATTGTTTACAGGTGTTTGATCAAGCCATACGTATGTGTGACAAGTTTAGTGGGTCCACTGCCGACCACACTACTGCACGCAAACGTCGCAAACTTGACGATGGGTACGACCAGTGGAGAGCGGAAAGTAGCACGGCCGAGTCAGGGGAGGAGTACGACGAGATAGAGGAGTACTTGAACGCCAAACTCCCGCTCGTGCCGGGAGAGGATGTTTTGAAGTTCTGGGAGAGAGAGGTATTACGTCTTACACAGTAAATTAATAACCCTAAAATAAGTCAAAATCGAGCTAGTTTTGTCCATTAAGTTTTTAATTACATGTGCAGAGTCAAAATTTGATGACACTATTGCGCAAGGAAGTGTCTCATAAAAAGTGAAGGAAACTTGTATTCCACAATGTCACTAGACTACAAAAGGCATTAATGCACTTAATTAAAAACTTGCTTCACAAAAAAAGGTCCTTTTGACATTATTTTGGAGTTGTGAATCTATCGGTTGTATCGATGCACGCGTAGGGAATGATACCGGTTGGAATGTTAGCCTGCAATTTCCGGCCCTTCAAGAAAGGTGCCAAGCTGCGTGAGGCTCTTGAGTAGGCTAACCCGAAACACTCCGACGCATGCACAGATACACCCGAGTAAGTGGTCGTGTCGCGATCGCCCTGTGTTCAGTGACATCTCCCCTTCACTTCTCTCCCTTTCCCCACCGCGCGCCCCGCGTTGCCCTCAGAACACGCTTTGGCAGAAGGAGGGGAAGGGAAGTGCAGTGAAGTGTCACTAAAAGTACGACATAATATCTTTTGATTTTTGTTTCGTTTCGTTGTTCGTTTCGTTGTTTCGTGAACTGGGTCCGTAGCACATTGCGAAAAATATCTTTGTAAATTGACAATTCTGGGTTTTGTTCTTATTATTCACATTTTAGTCCGCTTTCCAAATTTGAATGATGTAGAGTAGTATTTCTAAATTGCTCTTTTCTCTCAGGCTCATAGGTTCCCCAAATTAGCAAAATTGGCGAAGCAAGTACTCTGTATACCCGCTTCAAGTGCCTCCAGTGAGCGAGCTTTCAGCATCGCGGGTCTTATTATAAGTCCCCGAAGAAATTTGCTGAGCTCGGACCATCTGGACGACATGCTTGTACTTCGTGGGTACCTGAGGTACAAGAAAGAAAAAGAGACGGACGGAGCAGTGGCAGGTGCAGGGTTAGGGGCACAAAGAAGGGGAGGGGCAAGGGAGGAGGCAGTAGGAAGAAATAGAAATGGACGCAGGAGAGGGGCAGGGGGTGAGGTAGGAGAGGCAGGGGATGAGGATGAGGAGGCAGGTGAGGAAGACTTTTGAAGTCTAGTCTTTAAATGTTGAAACAGAGTTTCTGTTTTCCTAGTCATGAGTAATGGACAGTATTATGTATACTCATTATTAGAGTATACTTGTTATTTTCTTCAAATATTCTTTACTTTTATGTTATTTTTATTTTAAGTTTATCGACTGTCGTTGACTGAGCACGAGTTTCTTTTTCATTAAAATAAATATGACTTTCTGACTACTGAATAAAAAGTATGCAAATTCATAAAATCTTATTAACATGTACCCATTTTTCCTTCAACCGGCAGAATATCACACTCACGTCGAGAAACTGCGTTCACCACTAGCAGATTTGTAGGTTTTATCTACAACAAAGTTGTGCATACGTTGCATTTGCACAAATTTGTGCGAACAAGTGCATGCTTTTAGGCACACAAATTCGTGCGAATCGAAATGTAAGCGCAACTTGTGCAAACGTTTGCCCCAAAATCTACAAATACATTTAGTGTGACTTTTAGGGTGACTGACACCAAGAAATTGACGGCTCAAATATTAAGGGGGGGGGGGCAGTGGTACACTCGGAGTACGCGGAGTACAATTGGAGTACAAACGGAGTACAGTACACTCGAGTACGATCGGAATAAGTGGAGTACGAGTACACCCAAAGCACACCCGTAGTACACCCTGTGTACGTCAGGCGTACACCTGGAGTACTGTCCGCCGTGAAACAGAAACACAGCACACCCACACTAGTTGTCGATGTCGAGTCGACCCATCGACCGACGCTCAGAGGTCCGGCCGCCGTGCAACTCTGCAACCATACGGACAGCGCAAGCCGAGTGCCGAGCCTGTGCTGGCCTGGTCGGTGCCTGCGAGCCAGCAGTCTGGCTCGCAGCGCGCGAGCCAGCTCGGCTAGCTCGCGCCTGGCTTGCGTCGGTCTCGCTACCCCCACCCTTCGCTCTACTCTGCGAGCCAGCGCTGGACGCGCGAGCTAGGCTGGCTCGCGCGAGCCAGCCTGGCTCGCAGAACTTCGGTGGCTGCGAGCCAGGCGCGAGCTAGGGGAAAATCGCCCGCGAGCCAGCGCGAGCCAAAATCTGGCTCGCGCGCACAACTCTGCGGCAACGGTGGCTCCTGTTTCTACTTTCAGCTGACTAAAGCGCAAGAATTGCGGGGCTGCAGGGGGTCGCGGGGTGCATGGGACCATAAGCAAC